AAATTCATAGTAACTCTAATCCAACCTACTGATAAGGGACGCAGTAAGGACTAACTTAACTTACACCACGGCTGGTCTCAGGTAGAGAAGTACAAATCCAACAGTTTCATCTAGGGGGATTTCAAGTGACGTCTGCGTAGTCTCCACCTACTGGAAACAAGGGCTGGCTCATGTGCAGGTAATCTCAAGCAACGTGTCCAGGGGAACAACATTCGAACTATAGACCACTGTCACTTCTAGCACGGAAACAGTTTAACATTGGAAGCAGACTCTTCCGCAGTCCCCAAAACGTTAGCCCATTTGGCCAAGCGCATTTCTCCTTTATCATTCGGCCCGCAGAATAAGGAGTTGAACGAAGGACAGCTTCCACTGGCACCCGTGTATATTGAGACTACTTGACCCGCGTGACGTACACACTCCATGGGGTTAGTTTCCTGTCATCGATGCTAACGTCACCTCTTCGTGACTGATCAGTACTCAGTTAGCATAAAGAAGTGAAAGCAAACAACGAGATTGTTTACGGAGGTATGATAGGAATACCATACAAGGAGCCACTACAGAAACGAGCCTATGTGCTGGTATATGTGCATCCATCTGAAGCGTGCACGAAATAAGCACCTAATTCTTGTTCGTCCTTGCCTCACACTGCCATAGCCAAAAATGGAGGCAGCTCCGAAATGGCAACCGACCTGATGTTTGAATTTGTGACGTCGAAAGCGTCAGTCAGTACCTCTGAATCATATGATACATTCGCGGTACACAAGGTACAAAATACTGTTAACGGAAAGTTTCTTCGTGAACAGGCCTAGCTAACCGCAAAACTTCAAATCTTTTCACACTAGGAGAGATTTTGAGAAGGCCTGCATCGCCATTTTCAAACTTCCGCTAAAATGCTATCTTGGAGTGGTGTTCATCTGTTCTTTTCAGCTTCAGAGGCTGTTGCAAGACAACAAGCGGTCAGTAATGGAGAAGTGTTACCGACGGACATAGAGAAGACCTGCATGGTCATCAGTGGTTTATTTACTGTCATCGGCCATTTATATCATAACCGTGCGACTGGTGGGCTGTTGGTTTCAAGTGGCAAAAGGGTTTGATTCGAATACTCCATGACCTTGAAGTCAGACCAAAACCACCGGTGCACCGAAACCAGCGATTGGCTGATGTGACGACGATGCTGATAATGATGATGATGATGATGATGATGATGATGATGATGATGATGATGACGGAAACAAGTCCAGAGATGGCAGTTGCGCATCTTTGTCCGCAAGTCTTCGCGAGCGTAAATAAGATATTTTTTCACGCAGTTTAGTTGGCAAGCGCAATAGTTTTGGGGCTCGCAAATTACTTGCCAGTTCCAAATCAGTCCGTGCAATCCGGCGAAGGAAAAACAAACATTCTTATTTCAAAAACTGCCCTGAAATTTGTCATCTGAATTCCTCAGCTCCTCTCTATTCATACAGATGATTTATGGCCTCCTAACGATTGTATAATCGTGAAATATACAGATGACGTTTTTGTTGGCTACCGGACCAAATAGGATGGTGGTCAGCAAAATCGGTCTTACTTCTTGGAATATCGAGGACCTTTTGTCGTACCGCGGCCAAATTTTCACATCCACAACGCAATATTTCTGCGGTTCGTTATCGATATTTTGGCAGGGTAGATGGCTTTAGTTGCAGCTTTTTAATTTCCGCAGAAATTATTGCGTTGGTCTGGAGTAAACCGGTCTGTTGGAGAATTATAGGCTTAGCCTGAAATTTGATATGAATATTTGGGTTGAAGTCCATCAACCACAGCGGAATAATCACGCAATTTTTGTAAACTACCGACAGACAGCCAGTAGTTTATGCATATGCAGCGACAGAATATCAGCGAAACGCGTGTCTGGGCTTTTAGCTAGTACTCCTGCTACCACGAAAGGTATATAGTGTTACATATGCAGGTGACTTTAAGTCCTGTGTGTAGTGAAGGTCTAGTTTTAGGCTATCCGCTCCAAACCTGACCTGGCCATAACGTCAAAACCTGCATGGGCCGGCGCGCGCAAACACCCGTTGTAGCATTTTGCCAACAGGTCTGTACACTAACGTATAAACCAGTTGATGGGAGTGTTATTTGGGTCGTCGGACCGATAATTTTGGGACAGCAGGTGGGCTGAAGAGTTGGGCAACATTATGGGGGAGATGCGGGGAGGGTGGTGAGGCTACGCGACATGAGACCGCGGAGGGAGGGACGACAGGCATTCATGCCCACAGGCTGGATGCGGGCAGGCATGACAGATGAAACCTGACTAATCAGCTGCCGTGATGCCCTGTTCGGTGGTTTGCTTGTCGTTTCAGGTCGCCGGGATGCGTTTCATCCAAGAGACCTTTGACAGAGGGATTTTACAATCGCCTTTTGAGGGCCAAGCACAGGATTTTCGGCCCTGTTTCGTATGTTTGGTCCGAGGACTTTATGTATGACGTTCAGAGTAAACCTACGTAATGTCGTGCTACAAACCGGTTTATTGTTCTAACGCGAGGTGTTTCCGGTGGAAAATAACAACAAATTTATTATGCACTTATTGATGATGTATGTTTGGACTTTGTGATAGCTCGGGTTTCTGTTATGGTGGAAAGAGGCGGTGATGGGGGATTGCAGGCTGCCGAGAGAAGTGGTACAGGATTTGCACCTCTATGTACTAGAAGCTTCTAGCCAGCGTCGAAGTGGACTAATTATCCCTCTCTTGAGTAGGCGAACTCGCGCAGCACAGCCTCTTGAAATACCGCGTGTTTTTGTCCTTGAACACTTCATTTTCCAGCCACTTGCTTTTCAGCTATTGTTTGGACAAGAATTCCTCAGGATGGAGGGGTAGACAACTGAAGGACATTTTGTATCAGTTACTGAAATAATTGTTTATTTGAAAAAAGTCTGCGACATTGAATCAGACAGTCTAAGACACACATATGTTCTACCAGTTATCAGCAGACCTACGTAGCGTTTGTATACACAACACTCACTCGGACGACAGCCTGTCCACCGGCGTGTGCCGAGCCGTTTGGCTTCTTTCTGTCCCCCTACTCTACACTGACACTGTTGACGTCATATCACCCGTCTTAGACAGCCAAAACACACTAGCAATGGAGTACTAACAAAATAACATAGAAGAACCAGACTGATGGAGCGCCCTAATTTAGGACTTTCTTCATTTTACAGTTGGTGTATCGGAACTAAAACACGAAATAGAGCAACAGTTACTGAGATGGAATTTGGTCAGGGCAGTAAGTCAGCAATAAATTGATGGATGCTTGTTTGTGTTTGTCCTTGTTGAAAGCTAAATGTCGCTCTGTTGCATTTCCTCTGTTGCCTCTGCTTTTTGCTGTTCTTGTCTGCTTATTTTCTGCTTGTTCGTGTCCGTCGTTACTGTAAACTAAATGCCGTTCTCCTGAAATTGTCTACTCACCGATTGTATTTCAGCAACCAGTTAGCCTAGAGAGAGAGAGAGACGGGAAAGCTCTGCTTCTCATCCCTTTACTCTTCCATTAACCCCCTTTTCCCCCTGCAAGTCCTACGGCGATGTAGTAGGCAGGCCCAGGTTAACTGGGGTCGTTCTCCCCCCAAATAAAAGTCGTGGCTAATAGTGGAGTTCGTCGGCCGTCTGGGCAGCCGTATTTAGGGGCAGCACTGCCCACCCCCCACGAGGGGGAAGGGGTTAGAAAAGGGGTCCAAAACAAATATTGGGGTTCCACACCGTCTGCAGGCTGACCGTGGTCGCAGACGCAAAACTCACGGTCGAAACAATCAAACAAGAAGCGACACACGCTCTCTTCCCCCTCCTATTCACCGCCGGTCAACCCCACAGACTGGTAGGATGTGTCCGCTCACTCTGGCAGTCTGGAATGTTCGTTCCCTTTTAGACAATCCCAGGAGCAACCGATCGGAACGGAGGACGGCACTAATGGCTCGGGAAGCGGCGCACTAAAATGTGGACATCGCTGCACTCAGCGAGACCCGTTTCTCCGAACATGGCCAACTGGAGAAGGTGAGTGCCGACTCCTCCGAAGCGGTCGCCCCGAGGCAGAGTGACGTGATGGGGGCGTCGCCTTTGCCATCCGAAACGACACTCTGGAACGACTGCCCTGTCTGCCGCAGAGAATCAACGATCACCTCATGAGCCTCCGCCTGCCTCTCCAGGGCGGCAAATTCGCCACCATTGTCAGTGTCTACGACCACCCGATGACCAGCCCTGATGCTGTAAGGGACAAATTCTATGAGGACCTACACGTCCTCCTGGTGACTGTGCCGAGGGCGGACAAGTTGATTGTCCTTGGTGACTTTAACGTCCGTATCAGCACCAACCATGCTGTCTAGAGAGGTGTGCTGGGTCCCCGTGGTCTCGACGACTCCAATGACAATGGCCTGTTCCTCCTACGAACCTGCGCAGAACATCGGCTTATCCTGACCAACACCTACCTCCGCCTCCCGATGCGAGAGAAGGTCACCTGGGTTCACCCTCAGTCGAGACAATGGCACCTGCTGGACTACGTCCTCGTCCGCAGGAGAGGCCAGCGGGACGTGCTTGTGACAAAGGCAATCCCGGGTGCCGACGGGTGGACCGAGCATCGCTTCGTCATCTCCAAGATGTGGATTTGACTGAGCCTCGCAGGAGACTTCAAGGTAAGCGACCCTTAGGTAAACTGGATATCGCTTTGTTGTTTTTGTCCGCTCCGCATCTCTATTTCAGCAACGAGCTAGCTCAACGGCCAGCCAAACTTCCAGGCACCGCTGCCGCTGACGAGGACGTCTCTGTGGAGAACCGATGGTGCTTACTACGGTTACACAGTCTAGTCGGCCGCGCAAGTCGCTGGCATCAGGACTGGTTCGATAGCAATGACGCCGCCATCGGCAACTTGCTCGTCGAGAAGATCAGCCTGCACAAAGCCTGCGTCGATCGCCCCATCGTCGACAATAGGGCAGCCTTCTACCATAGTCGCCGCCTCGTGTAACAGAGGCTGAGGGAGATGCAGGATGTCTGGATGGCTTGCAAGGCTGAGGAGATCCAAGGGTACGCGGATCGCAACGAATGGAAATATTCCTTCTCCACGATCAGGGCTACCTACGGTCTCACAACCAAAGCAAATGCCCCTATTCTCAGTGCCGACGGCGGTACCCTACTCACCGTGAGGATATCAATTCTACAGAGTTGGGCCGAGCATTTCAGAGGCGTCCTCAATCATCCTATCATCATCTTCGACACCGCCATCGCCCATCTGCCTCCAGTGGAGACCAACGCCGATCTCCACCTCCCGCCCTCTCTCCACAAAACCATGAGGGCCGTACAGTTGTTCTCCAGCGGGAAGGCGTCCGGATCGGACGTGATCCCTGTTGAGATATACACGCACGCTGACCCCCAACTCATGGATCATCTGACAGCGCTCTTCCAGGAAGTGTGGCTTCAAGGAGAAGTCTCGTAGGATTTTAACGACTCCACAATCGTCCACCTCTATAAGCGGAAAGGTAATCGCCAGCTCTGCGACAACCATCAAGGCATTCCATGTTGAACATCACCGGGGAAATCTTCGTTCGCATTCATTTCAACCATCTGAACAACCATCTAGAACAGGGTCTCCTGCCGGAAAGCCGGTGCAGCTTCCGTCGTCATCGTGGGACTACCGAAAACTGCAGAAGAAGTGTCAGGAGATGCGGACCCACCTCCACTCTACCTTCGTGGATCTGAAGAAAGCCTTCGACACAGTGAATCGTGAAGGACTCCGGAAGATCATGCAGAAATTTGGCTGTCCCGAACGATTTTCTCAGATGGTGCGTCAGCTCCACGATGGCATGATGGCGCGAGTCACGAACAACGGGGTTGTCTCAGAGGCATTCGCGGTGGCCAACGGAGTAAAGCAGGAATGCGTCCTGGCGCCCACCCTCTTCAGTTTTACGTTCTCTGCCATGCTACTGGACGCCTACCATAACGATCGCGCCGGGATCCGTGTCGCCTACAGGACGGATGGCCAACTCTTTACTCAGTGGCGGATGCAGTTCCAGTAGCGTATATCTGCAACTTCCGTCTATGAACTCTTCGGTGATGACTGCGCCCTCAATGCAACTACTGAAGGAGACATGCAAAGGAGCATGTATCTCTTCTCCGCCGCCTGCGAGAACTTCGACCTGGTCATCAACACGCACCAACCGCCACCCGACCTTGTCTACGTTGTACCCAAAATCAATGTGAACGGCGCCCAACTGCAAGTAGTGGACAACTTCACGTATCTGGGCAGCACCCTCTCCCGCAGCACAAAAATCGACGATGAATTAGCCCGCCGATTTTCCAAGTCTAGTCAAGTCTTCGGTCGTCTTCAAAACAAAGTTTGGAATCGTCACGGTCTTCAACTCAGCACGAAACTGAAGATGTATAAAGCGATTACCCTACCGACGTTGCAGTATGTAGCAGAGACTTGAACGGTTTAAAAAAGCAGGCACGCAAACTCAACCACTTCCACCTCAGTTGTCTCGAACGGATACTGAAGCTGAGGTGGCAGGACCGGATCCCAGACACGAAGGTACTGGAGCGGACGGGAATCCTCAGCAACTACGCTATGCTGAGACAACTACAACTACGTGGGTACGGCCATCTCATACGGATGGACGACGTGCGACTACCCAAACGACTCTTCTAGGAAGATGTCGCGACGGCTTTACGCCGACAAGGAGGTCAAGTCCGGCACTACAAGGATATTCGGTAAACCTCCCTTAAGCATCCGCAGATCAACCCAGCAAATTGGAAAGACCTCGTCCGGACCGACATACGTGGAGGAGAACAGAAAAGACAGGCGCAGCAATCTTCGAAATCAACCGCATCACTGCCGCCAAAGCCAAAGCAAGACGCGCAAGTCTTGACTATGTCCACCTCTCAACACCAACGCTTGACCGTCCCCAACCTGCTCACGGTGTCAACGGACGTTCCGGGCACTAATCGGGCTTACTGGACATCTTCACCACCCGGACGACGCTACCCGATATCCCCCCGTCCACCCCTACCTCGCCTGTCAAGCCGACAAACAACACTGACCGCACTCCTGAACCCCACTCTCATTCTCCTCC